GCCAAGTGCTATGAGGCTGTGCTGGGCAGGGGAAACTACTACAACCCACAGCCTAGACACTGCTTCCTGCTGAGCCAGGGAAGGGATCTGAGCAGGACTCAGCTGTCTTGCAGGGACCACAGGGGAGGAGCCTTCTCCTGCTGCACTGAGACCCCTGGAGCTCTGCAAGGGACACCAGCAGCAGGGACCACCCACAGCTCCTGTGCCAGGGACACAGACACAGCCCTGCTCTCTGAGACACCCAGCCAGGGGCAGTGCACACAGTACACAGTGTACAAGTTGTAGACTGTGTAAATAAGTTCTTGATGGTTTATTAGTTGGAGTATCAATGTATTTATTTATTGGTTCCTTATTTATTATGGGTAATTTGTATACCTTCCCCTACTATAACGTGTATCCAAGAAGCACTAACCCTTAAGCCACCATCACCAGGTCATGCAGTGTAATATTTATTTTATTGCATTGGTTATATATTACCTTGTAAATAATTAAATCCTGTAAATATTTTTAGAACAGTCTGCAAGGTTGATTGTAAGGGGAGGCTCTTCGCTTGGGGACCCTGCAGCAGCTACTGGGTACTCCAGGATCCCACTACTCAGGTGAGGGTGCAGGTAGTGTTGCATCCAGGGTTACACATATAATACTTGCATAGAGTCTGACAAAACGAATCTGTATTGTGTGAACTATTGATCATGACTGTGCCAGCATACTTGCTTTTTCCAATCTTTAACTCCCTCTTGGGAAGCAGAACAAAATAATGACTGTTTGGCATGCATCACCAGGGACCAGCATGAAGTAATGAAACTTCCCCCCCGTGGTGATGTTCTTAAAGCACGCAGTTCTTACATTTAACAAATTGTTCCTTTATTTAAGGGTTATATCACAGAAACCAGAGCCTAAGGTTAACTTCAGCTTGCTACAAAATGGATGTTTTTACACAACGGTGCAATGTAAAGATACAAGACTTTATTTTAAATGAATTACCTTGGGTGCTGAAAACAGTGCAGTGACAGCAAGCCTGAGAAGCAGGGCAAAATAATCCACACTCAGCGCTGTGCTGTTGTGGTTAGACTACACAGACAGGGGGAGGGGGTGAAAGGCTGAGCTCTTCAATGAGTTTTTTGCCTCAGTGTTTCTGAACAAGGGTCAAGACAAGTCTCCTAATGGGTTCTTAGATGGGCATCAGAGGGACACCAGCCTACCACTGTTGACACTGATGTGGTGCAGAGTCACTTGGATGGACTGGATGTGTTCAAGTCAGCAGGCCCGGATAAGCTGCATCTGAGAGTACTGAAGGAATTGGCTGATGTCATAGCAGAACCACTGGTACGGGTGTTTGAGCACTCATGGCACTCAGGTCAGGTCCCAGAGGACTTGAAATCATTAGCAAAGCTAACTGCACTGTATCATGTATCAGCAGATGCATGACCAATAGAACCAAGGAGGTGATACTTCCCCTCTATGCGGCACTGGTCAGACTGCAGTTGGAGTACTGCGTACAGTTTTGGGCACCATACTTTAAGAAGGATGTGGATAGCTCAAGAGGGTCCAGAGGGGCCACTCGTATGGTTAAGGATTTGCAGGCCAAGCCCTAGGAGGAGAGACTAAGGGACCTGGATCTCTTCAGCTTCCGCAAGAGAAGGCTGAGAAGTGAACTTGTGTCCACCTACAAATTCATTAGGGGGACACAGCAAGGAACTGAAGATGCTCTGTTCACCAGAGTGCCTCTTGGGGTAACAAAGAACAATGGTCACCAACTGACAGAGGGCAGATTTAGGTTAGATATCAGAAAGAACTTCTTCACAGTAAGGATGTCCAGAATTTGGAATAGGCTTCCAAGGGAGGTGGTGCTCTCCTCTACCTTGGGGGTCTTTAAAAGAAGGCTGGATAGGCATCTACCTGGGGTTATCTGACCCCAGCACTCTTTCCTGCCCAGGGCAGGGGGTTGGACTTGATTATCTGTTGAGGTCCCTTCCAACCCTAGCATCTATGAATCTACTACTGGTACACAACATAGCTAACTTAAAGGGAGGTCAAGTACCTCTGCCCTAAACTGCAGTCTATAGTGTAGATCATATACTATGTCCATTCCCATCACTGAAGTTCAACTTATTAGTGCACACTCTACATGAAGTAGTAAATATTTTGCAGATCTGGTCCATCAAAGTTTGCCCTCCACCCACGGTTTGCTACTGGCGATGGGTGCATCGAGCCCAGATTGCAGTCTGCAAAATACACTAATCTGGAGTGCACACTGGTTTCCAAGGCACAAGCAAGAGTCTTTCCGGATCTTTTCTTCCCTCACTCCCTTAGAGCAATGCATTTTTATGCCACCATTATTTAGTTCCTGCCCTGCGGCTCTCTCTCTTAAAACTTTGATTTTACTTTATGCTTATGGGGATTGATTTTGCTCCCAGTTAAGTGAATAGCAAAACACCCACTGATTCCAGTGCAGCAGGACTAGCCTGTAGTGGGATTCCATCATCATGGTAGTAACAGAAAGTCAATGAATTTTAAAAATGTTGAGGTGCAAATACAGGCTGGATAGAGACAAAATATGAGCAATCACATGAGTCTTGCAGTCCTCAGTGAAGATCAAAGACGTCTGCATAACTTGCTTTTCCCATTAGTTTTATTTTCACATGGCTCTGCTCCTTCAGGTTCCAGGCACGACTAAAAGCTGTAGTGCCAAAATACCATGAAAAAGGCTGCTCCTGCAAAATTTCTGGCTTTACCAGATGGAGGAAAATCTCATGAAAGAATCTACTCGTGTTTTCTTTCCAGCCCTGCTTGGCAAGGCAAAAAGGTAGACTGAGGTTCCATTTGGAAGTTCTGAACCTTATTTGAACTTTTCTTTAGTTCTCCATAATTCCTGTAAATATTTAGAACTCTGTGAATCTCTGTTATGTCAGCTGTGTTGTTCTTTCTATTGTCTCATAAAAATCATAAAACTTATAAAACCCAGGGATGATGAAGTTATTATCAATCTACTAGTTCAAAATTAGCATAATCTATAATATGTTAGTAATAGAGGTTCAAACAAATATAGAGTCCCATTGTGCCAGGTGCTATATAAATGTGTCATAAAAGAAACTTCCAGCCTGGAACAATTTACAGTTTAACCAGAAAAGGGGTGAGGGAGAGCTTTCCATCTATAACATATGATGAAAGCTAGGTTATGTGATTTGCCAAAGGTCACACAGGAAGTTAGTGGCAGAGCCACAAATTAACATAATCTCCTGAGTTCAGGTCTAATGCTTTAACTTCAAGACCATCGTCCTCTTTCTCAAAGAAGCCACATATGGGGAGATGCCGATTTGAAAACTGAAACATTTTTTTAAAAAACAGCTTCTGAAGGAGCTGGTTGGGACTGAGTCCAGCTCATTTCAGCAGCAAAAACTTGCCGCTCTCCAGTTCTGTGCTGCGGGCAGCAAACAGAGTCCATCCAAAAGTGACAGTTTTAGCGCTTAGGAGAACTCAAAAACTTAATTTTCAAGCCTACAGGTGCACCTAACCTGATGGAAGAAAAAGGTGGATTTTATTTCCTCTGCTTTATAATTTTCTTGCATTGCAAATTTTTATTGGAGCTGCTGAAAAAAAGTAAAGAAAAAGAACAGTTTGCTGACTCAGTGTGGCTCCCACATAAGCCAGTTTTTCCCATACTTCTGTGGTTGAGGACAGGAATTTGTCTATAACTTCATTGTCAATTACTGAAAGCCATGTTGTTTTGTTCCTTTTAGAAATTGCTATAATAAACTGTTGTAATCCAATTGAAATAGTAATGTGAGTCCCATTAAAGGCTCACTTCTTTCAGAGTTTTCAAGGCAATAAACAAAGTTGACTACTTGGAGTGAACTACAGAAATACAGTCCAGTCAATCTTTACGTTAATCAAACACAAGAAGTCCATGCTGTTTCCAGTATATATTTTATAGCTAAGACTTACAGCCAGTGGCAACATGGTAGGCTGAAGTTCCTTGGGTGCTGGTATTTACCAAGGAGGACATGGCTACAGTTTTGAAAAACATGAGCTCCCTAGGGAGGACTTGTGGGGCACTGCACTGCCTCAGGGGGAATTCATAGAGCCAAGGAATATATTTCTGACAGCACTAGAAAGATGCCCCATGCAAAGTCCATTAGTCAGAACAAACACAGCTCTGTTTTGCATGATGTGAGTAGATTCTAAGGGCACATTACTGCCTTTTCGTAAAAAAGGGTGCTCTTTGTGATAGAAATTCCTTAGCATACTGCATACTACAGCTAAATCAGAGACCCTCCCCCACACACAATATTTCTGTTGTGTTACTATGGCTAATGTGTGACACTGCAAGAGACAAAAGCTGATGGGACACAATTGGGACTATCTTCACTAAACAGTAAGTGGGATTATCTTCTTTAAGGTTATTATTATTACTCTCTCATAACTCATACAGTGGAACCCAACTGTCTGGCCTTTGCTATTTGAAGGGTGTTTAGAGAGTTAGTGAGCCAGCAGAGGCAAAGAGTTCTATAGTGCGGCCTTCAGAAGGACAGAAGAATAGAAGTGGATCCAAGAATCTAACAGTTTGCCCTGATCCAAGCATTCAGATAAAACCTGGCTAGTGCATCTTGTGTAGATTACAATCCAAAACATCTGAGTTCAGCCTCTTAGACTTCCTAAGGCATCTTGAGCAAGTTTTTACTTTATGTTTGTCTGAGTTTCTTTTATGTAAAATAGCAATCTTTTCTCCTACCCCTTCCCTGTTTCATCCCATTAGATTATAAATTCTTTGGAGCCAGGACAGCCTGTTACTATACGTGCATGGACCACATTTAGCATAATGGATCCCAAACTGATATTCAGACTCTTAAGGGCTACTATAAGATAGTCCCAAACAAACAATAATAATAATAATACACTTCCCAAGCAGTACTTCTGCATCAAGTTGGAGTCTGCCTGCAACTCGGTACAACTTGGGTATAATCCTTTGACTCCTTAAGTTTGCCATTGCATCTCTCAAAGTATTCTTGTACTTTTGATGTGATTCTCCTGAAAAAAATGAAACCTTCCTCCAGCATACAAGATTTGACTTTTTATGGATTAGATAGCAAAGACTTGTGTCTTCCCAATGTATTTTCTCCCCTGGGTTTCATTCTTGCTACCAAATGACAGAGTTGGATGCTAGAGGTAACATATTGCTGAACTAGCATGGCTTTGAGAGACTGGTAATGTGCCTGTCACATACTTATTTGTGAAGCAAGTAAGTTACCTTTTCAACTAGTTTCATAACTGAAGTTTATCCAATGCTAAACCAACCAATTCCTCTTGCCACCCACTAACTGACAGAGCTGCTGTTGTATTCTGCTATCACTTCAGATCAATGTGAAGATAGTGCATTTCAAAAGTACCTCCTACAAGGATATGGCAGCATCAGTCCTTCAACCTCCAGAAATGCAACATAATATCAAGATGCACCACCAAAGACAAGAGTCATCCACCCAGGAATCATGTACAGGTAATTCAGCAATGACTATTTACCTGATAATGAGTGGATCACAAAAAGATTACGCCATAGATCACTCAAATCCAATAAATTCAGATAGATGCATTGGTACATACAGTATACTTTATTAGGCTTTAAAAATGCATAGGTTCCAAACTGATAGTTCTGGAGTCTAAAGCCCTTTCTTTAAGGGAGACAACAGATACTGCATTGGCCCTGACAGTTCAAGCTTCCCCTCAACATTTTTGCCACCATGCGCCATGGCTGGACGCTGCTTGTTTGGGACAAATATAGTGAACAGAATGATACTTATAAATGTGAAGGTAGTTCAATTGCTTTGTCGTTTTCCATTTTCAGTCTTTCTGATAACACTGTTGATAAGGTGTCAGTTACACTGATGATAGTGGCATTTCTGATGTAGACTTCCGTCCACAAGGAAATGGCCCAAGACCATTAACTTATTTAATACAGTCTGCCAGAGAGAGCTAACAGGCTTTCTTTCAATATAAAACAACAGCTATGTAATCTGAAATTCATATGTGCTGAGATTTTAAGTTTCGCACCATGGTACCTGCTGGCAGATAGGCCAAATCTGTACATAACTCAGTCTCAGCTGGCTAACTAGAGCAAAAGGAAGTTATCGGACTGTTAGGTCAGCAAACTGTAAGGAAGGTTACATCCCTTTTACATAACTCACTGCAGATGGCAGGAAACCCCCCTTTTACCCATAAATTTTTATTTCCTTTTTAAGGAAGTTTAGTCACCATCCTTTCCCCTCTCTCATCATTCCACATACCCCTCACAACCAAACACACACATTCACACTCATACATGTACACTCACACAGACACGGAGACACTCTCATTCTCTCTCTTTCCCTCTTCCCAACTTCTCCCTCCCTCCATTGTCTGTAGTGTTGTCTGTTTTCTTAATTTAGATTTTAACCACTTGGGCCTGTCACTGGAAATATAAACAGTCTGTGGCTGTAAGACAGTGCAGTTGGATATAAAATTCTGATGTCATATGGCTGTTACACCTTCTATTTACTTTAATCATGACAGATCCTAATCCTGTCAAAATCATGCAAGACTGATGAAAATGTGTGCTACACAAACAGTTATATTTTCTCTGGTTGGTTATTCCTTTTTAAGTAGAGTAAGGATGAACTGTATTCACTCTGTTTCTGTTGTTTAGGATAGTATGGAGTAACAAAATATGAAAATGTAATTAAGGTATGTTACTGTAATGAAAACCTAATTCCTATTTTCTCTTTTAAGACTCCATACACACCCCATCTGCAGTTACCAAACTGGGGATCCAAGCATACAGAATGCTCTAAATTGTCCTATGTGGATACTGATAACTTCAGTAATTCTCCATAATGCAACTAACTGGACTCATTCTAAAACACCCACCTCCAGAGCTCTCGTCATCCCTCATCTTACCAAACTGGCAGCAAAACACCTGTAAATGATGGGGGCTTTTAATGACAAAGTCTGATACCAGCAGGCCCCAGGCACTTTAAGGTCCTACTGATGTACTGACCAAGCAGTACATCAAAGAGACTCAGACCCCACTGGAACTCTGATTCCATTATGGACAGGTCATCAAGCAGGAAGTGGTGAAGATCTTACAGAGGAAATTGTTTTTGAGGGGGATCACCAAAAGGAGAGAAAGGGTCTGCAATCTGTGAAATGGACTGATACATATATTTAGCCTAGAAAGCAGAAACAGCTACTCCAGAATTGGAAAAAGTCAGCAGTAGGGAAGTAGGGTAAGGTCCAGTTCCACAGGACATTAGCATGTTATGCCAGGTGAGAGACCGGTTTACAAAGAGCTATGGAGATATTTTCGCCCATGAGGGCAAGTTACTTTCTTTTGATTTTTCTTGCTGTTGTTGTCCCTTGTTCATCTTTCTGTTCCTTTTAGAGATCTGCTACAGCTCCTCCTTCCAAGAAGCATAAAACTTGTCAGTCATTATGTCTACATGAGGTCATGTTACACACTATGCTCTACTGTCTGAGTACTCCTTGAGCAACTTAAACTGAGGAAGAAAAACAAAGCAAAGTAGTTATCCTTAACCTTACTAAGAGGAAGGAATACAAGGGACGATGGAGAGAATAATGGAGAAAGAGGGCTTACCCTGCAACTGCAGTGATGAAGTGTAGGGGGCTCAGACCATCAAGAGGAAGAGGAAGGAAGTCTAGCTTGTGAAGGAAAACAAAGCTATAAAGAGATAAAAGCATGGGCACCCACCCCATGTCTTCATCCCTCTTCAAACCTCTTCAAGTCCTTCCTAAGGAGCTGCTAAAAACAACCTGAACAAATAGGAATGTGGGCTCTTGAGAGCCCCCAGGATATAGAACACACTCAGCTTTTGAAAGCACAACCCAGAATGTACGCCCCAATTTGGTGCAGGATGGTAGTCCTCCAGAGAGGAAAGATTATGCAGAGATCAGAGAATTAGCTGCACCCAAATCACCTATGTAAATTCTTTCTGGATTGGACTCATATTCATTAAATCCCTCAAGTAAATTAGTCTGGTTCCTTTCTCTGCATCTTCTATATTTTTGTATCATTCTCTTCTACTTCTTTCCGTTATTTCTATGATGCAACAATGTTAGTCAACAGAGAAGCTGAGAAATGGAAGTAAGAATGAAAAGACGTAACATTTTCTTATATGGGGACTGGAGTCTTCTGTGGGTTGTAGGCAGAGCCACTGCCAGCATGACACGTCATCAAAGGAGAAGGGAGAGATAGCAGCTATGCGAGAGAACAAAACTGCATCCGCTTCTGGTGCCTGTAACTAAAACAGATGTTGATAAATATCTGTTTAGGAAAGAGCCATGAAAACCATTAAAGCACTAGAAAAACCTGTATCATGGTGTGATAAAAGATCTTAAAATAAGAGAAAATTGAGAGTGACTTACTCACAGATTTTAATTATCTATACTGCATACACAAATTTGATAACAGAAGGCTCTTTAATTTACATATTAAAGTCATAACAAGATGAAGTCACTGGAAGCTGAAACCAGAAAAATTTAGACATAAATGAGTTAAAAATCATGAACTGTTAAAAAAGATAAAAACCTTTAGCTGTGAGAATAATCCTGAAACAGCTCCTAAGGGTCAGAGTGGATTCCCCTGCACTGTAAATTTCAAATCAAGTTTGATTTTTATATATATTTTAAGATATGCTCTTGCTCAGCTCTGTTAGCAATATGGCTAGCTAGGGAAAGCCTTCCTACTTAATCCACAGTGAGGCTGCCGCCCCAAATTAGGCAAGTGTAAATCACAAATATGCAGAATAGATGGAGAAAGGTCGGAAAAGGAACGGAGCATTAGTTATTGACTGTTTCTAAAACAGTATGTGTGCTTGTACCTCCAGAAGCCTGCTTTTCAACCTTTGGTCTCAGTCAAGACAGAATGTATTATATTTACACCTTCAGTCTTGATTCAGAAAAGACCAAAAGGATGGCCCTTTTTAAAATTGTAAATACCTGTATTTAATGCAGCAGTATGTCAGAAAGCACAAGATTCAGGAGGTGGTTTACATAGCCAATACTCCTACTGATATAAAATGAGCAGATTAGCTGTACAATTTTGTATGATGCTTCCTTCACAGGAATAGCACCAAAACTATATTTATGCAGCATCTTTCACCTGGGATCTCGAAACACTTCATAAGCTGCATACATATAGCAGCTTTTGCTTAGAGTCATCTGGAGGAGGGTGGTTATCAGTAATGGCTAACTACAGGGACAAAGCACTGTGTTTGCTAGGGCTCCCAACTAAAATGGAACCACCTGAGTTTTTCTCTTTGTCATGCAAACAACTAACATAGAGCATATATCCTTCCAGGGTGCAACACTTTTGACTTGAGCATAACCATGTCTATTTATACCATCAAAATGAACTGGTCTTGTGTGGTTTGTCAGTCACCTGTTTCAATGCTGAGAAGAGTATATATAAAAAACTAGGGAGAGCTTCTGAGGTAAAAAATTGGGGAGGGGGAGGTGGGGAGGGAAGCAGAAGCAGCTGGTTGGGGAAAGGCAGAATTTGAAAATCCACCCCCTGTGATTCCATTTAAAAATGAAGAACTAGTTGAAACTGGCTGCTTGCAGCATCAAAATTGTAATATAAGGGTTGTTTCTTTTTAAAGAGCTTAATAGACAGGAAGTAGGGTTGCCAACTCTGTTTGAATCTATTCTGGGAGGTTTCCAGAAAGCCAACGTGCCTGCGACACAACGTGAATGTGCCCACATGCTTGTCTATATCAGTTATGGATTACAGTGTGTAGACTTCACATCAGGAAGGCAAATGCACATTACTATTACATTTTAAAAACACACTGGAGTACTGTATAAATTGGATTCAACATTTAGGATTTATTTTAATTAATGCCCTATCATTTATCTCCCAGTTGACTCTCAGCAGTCTCCTGGAGATTCATATCTAATTTCTGGAGACTCCAAGGCAATCCTGGATGGCTGGAAACCCTAACAGGAAGGCTGTTAAAATGCAAACCCCAGTGCTGTGGTTATGACTTAAAATTTAAAACTAAGTTTTGGTTTTGGTTTCTTTTCCATTTATTTCTCTCTGCTGGCCCCTTTCCTGTTCACAAGGGGCAGAGAAAGTAGAATGTATAGGTGCCCAGCTTCCCCTCAGGAAAGTATCTTTACCCACTATTTATTTCCTCTTGTTTTACCTAACTTATCAGGAGCTTCTTTCAAAAGATCTAAGATTCACTCACTGCCTTGAAATATTCCCATATCGGCTACTTATGCTGACTGAATTGTGTCAATTCAGTGGTTTCACCTGGAGACCCTTTTACTCATCGTAAGTCCTGGTTCATCCATCAGATATGGGGTATACCTACACCATGTAGGGGTAGCGTGTTCTAGCCTTACTCATTTGCTTCTCCTACTCACATATTCCAAACCTGGAAGCAGTGGGTGAGGCTGTTCCATTGGTTTCCCCAGCAGCCATTTTCTAGCAAGTTAGAAGTCTGGAGAGTAGCAGCAGAGAGATGCTCTGGAGGGCCAGACCAAACTATTTTCCAGGTTTGGAGTGTGTGAGCAGAAATGGGTATGCAAGGCATGCAGAGAACAGCCCAACAGGCTGTTGCCATGCAGCCGAAATACTTTGAGAAATGATTTACAGGCTTTTTCTTTCTGATTCTGCGAGACACTTAGCATCTGCATATGTTTTGTACCCAGGGGTATCAGTCAACAAACCTAGATCCTACAGTTAGTGACATTTATTACTAAGACACAGACATTATGACACAAGCCAGAACCAGCACATGCTAGAACCAGAACTTCCTAGCAGATATGGAAACCATTTTTGCCTCATAAAATTGATATAAAACAATCGTTGCCTCAAAAAATTAGTGTAACTGTCTGTATCTACATGAGAAGCTGACTGAGCAGTAGCCCATGACTACCACACAGTAGCATCATGTAGCAGAAAGAATGACACAAGGCTACTGTGCAGTAGTCCCTAGCTACCGCGCAGTCAGCATCACAAAAAAGCCATTCAGACCGCTACACAAGTGTTTATACAAGTACTTAATGACTGTGCAGTAACAACTGTGCAATCGGCATTTTGTATAGGCACACCAACTGAAATTACTCTTCTTGGGTCAAGTTTGAATAGCTAACTGAAACAACTGTTTGAGTAGTACTCAAACGATACTTTTTGAGTCCTGTAGTATTGTTGAGCATAACTAGTACTTGAGGCAAAATTGTCTCAGATTCTGACCCATGGGCCAGGTAAAGTTGTCCAATTTCACAGGAACAAAGGCAGGCAGAACAGTATCTGCTTAGGGCTTTTTGGAACTAATCATCAGGTCATCTGGTAATGTCCTTCCATTCTTCCTTACAAATGCCTTGGGAAAAGCTGTTTAAGAAGAGCTTGAACTAATAAGAGAGTGGCTTTTGTTTTCTTGATGGGCTGATAAGCTTTTGTGTTCTGATAAGCTCCCTGCTGGCTGCTGGCTTGTTTCAAAGGCTGCAATCTGACAGTGTTCAAGATGGGACAGAGAGAGGTGTGAGAAATGACCTGGTTTGCAGTGCATGAGACCTGTGAGTGCCATCAGTTTGGTGCAGACAGTATGAAGAAGCAGGGAGAGGGACACTGAAAAGCTCAGTATCATCAACAGATGCATGCACTCCACACAAGCAGTCCTCCCTTCCACCCCACCTTTGCCTCAGAGTGCTAGCCAGGGGCTGGGGACTGTAACACTCCTGCCCCTTGAGCAGCAAGTAGGGGGAAAAGCCTGGTGAGGGCTGCTTCCTCCTTTCCCTCCAGGTACACCCTGGCTGGGAACTATGCAGGCCAGGGTGGGGGTTTAAACCTCTCTGTAATCATAGTGTCCTGCTGAGGCCTGGCCACCCCCCGCCAGGTCAGCATT